TATGGAATAAACTGCTACTCAGAGCTTCGATTTATTAATGTGAATGGCACCGCTTACTTCCGTTAAGGGAAGTGATTCGAAACTCCGACCTACGTCATCGATTGAAAATGACAGACACCGTTCTGTACGCCAAACAGTCGAAGATAAGGTGGGCAAGACACGTAATGCGTATGAATGACAACCAATGGACATGAGCTGTTAGTGACTGGATTCTTCGCGACGTAAAACGTACTGCTGGAAGATCACCGATCCGAATGTCAGAGTTCTTCACGAAGAGCCTATAAGAAAAATATGAGCTCGACGAGTTCCTAGAGCGTGCAGAACGCACTAGACTACTCATGCACGCGACAGGGAAAAATGGAAGATTTACTGGCGTCCGCTCGAGTCACTCGACGATCAACGGGACTAGATGATACAAGTGATGAAACTGTTGCCTCTCATGATAGGTGTAGAGAAGAACTAAAGCTCTCAAACGATAATTCTGTCTACTCGTTTACCCCGTCCTTCATTTCTAAAGTAATAAGTGGATCTACAAAATATTGCTCAAGAAGTGCAGGTAAAGAGAATTTGGTAACAGAAAAAAAGTGTTTGAAACAATGCCGAGTACTCCAAGGCCTCCAACCAGTTCGCAATCGCCTGCTTGACCGTTTATGCACAACAAAAAGTTGTATAATATGCCCTAACGCTTGAAACGGTGATTGCATGAGTTCGGGTACAGTTTAATCGATCTATTGTAAAGCGTGAGAAAGAATACATTGGTGAAACTCCATCTAAAAAAACATCTAGTTGGAAAATTTAATGTTAAACCAAATACTCCACTAAACAAAAATTGGGCACAAAGGTAGCAAAGGCATTTAAAACATTAGCGCGTAAGATTATTAAAGCAGTTCCGATTATTTCCAGATTCCAACCAAGCAACTGATCTTTTTAATTTTAAGAAATTAGCTCCAAAAATCAAAAAATGAACCATAGGGGAAAGTGGGTTGCGATAAAGGGTGACCACAGGTCAGTTTTTTTAACTGAGGTAAGCACATTCCTCACCCCTGTGAGAATCTGTGCCCCTGGTTCTCCAATAGTAACCAGAAGCCTTATGAACAACAGAACGGTGAGTGATTGCAGCAAGCTGTCTGTTATAAATTTATACAACGCAGAGACGAATATATTGGACAAACCGCTTGACTACTCTGTGTCCATGTGAAAGAACCGCTAAACGGTAAGAAAGTTAAGTAGAATGCTCCAAAAGGTCCTCATTGGAGGCCAAAGACATTATGGTGAAGACTCTGGAGTAGAATTACCATGGTAGCACAAGAATCTAAAGGTTCTGCGTTTGAAGCTCTTGAAGAATTCTGAATATATTCTAATCTCATTAACTCCATGTGAGCTCTGCACGGTTCGCTCCATATGGAATAGTCAGTGAGATATTAATAGAAAGCAGTTAATGTGTAAAGAAAATGTTTTGCTTTCAATGCCATTGAAATCTAGGTTTTGTGATTTTTCTGTTGAGGTAATGGTGTATGACTGACTAGATTGCAGTCAACTTCACCTTTCGAGGCCTCGAGGAAAGCAAAACCTGCCAGAACGTCGGCTTTTGTGAATGAACGGTGTAGTAACAACCTTATGTGTGAAAGCGAATTTATCAAGAAAAGCGAACTGTTGATGCAATAATCACAATGGTGCTGAGATGTAAGCAAAACCCGGGATGTCATGTTCGCTTCGAACCCGCGATTACTCTTTCCGAGGGCCTATGTGTTTGTTATCCATTCTCTCTCCGTGGCTCGTGCTTTGCCTTTCGCTTGGCCACCTTTTCACTCTGATCATACTTTCAGCGATCGCCCATCGACGGAATTGATCTGGGGAGCACAAATCGGCATTGAACGCAGTTAAACTAAAGCTAAAGTTGAAATTATAGTGTTAATTGTTTTTTTAATTGACCAAGAGAAACACAAAGCAAAGGCTGCAGCTGTGCAGTGGATAACAAACACTTGACTCCCTGGAGAGGGAAATACATGGGTTTGAACGCAACTGAGGTTCCGTGTTTTGCTCATATCTGAGCATGTCTTCAGTTGTATTTCGCATAATATCCTGCGATGAAAGGATCAGTAGGAAGTAAATAGCTCTTCTACAGAATACCAGCTGGTGCTGCAGATTGTTGAACTTTTTGTTTGCATTTTGTTTCTCTTTCGCCTTATTTTATTAACTTTCTTGCCTTCTCTTCCTTTAAAATATTCGTTTTTGGAACTTTTTAAAGTGCATTCAGATGATGGAGAAAGTGTGAATGTGTAATGAAGCGCATACGACATGCACATTCGGAGACACCGAATCATCAAAAACATCTGCCATCCTCCTTCATGAGCAACAACGATAGCCGATGAAGAAGGTCACTAACGCTTCTTCCAGACTGGCAGCTGTGCCACATTTTTCCCTTGCTCTACAATTTTTTTGTGATTCGTTTCTATTTGCCAATGCTTTCCCATAGTTTTGCTTAGCCATGTCGTAGTGAAATCAGAGATTTTCGGTAAAATTTGCCTTTTTGAATAGCATTTCTTGAAGAAACTGATGAGAATTTCCCTTCATGATTCCTGCAGGTGTAGGTGTTAATTCCTGGCTAAGTTAAGCTTGAAATATCTTTCACTAAGCATTTTTCACTAACCTGTTTAGAAATTAAGTCTTTAGATAATATGCACTACATCATCTGCGATCCCGTGAATCGTCGAGTCGGGAGGTTTTCAGTAATGTCTTCAGTGGACTCTACCGCGCTTCGGAGCCCGCTGGCCTCCAATTGCTGGATGAGGAAAAATCATCACATCTTTCCGAGGATATCGAGAAAGGAGATTGACATGCATTGGAAAATCAATGATGGACCGACCTCATGTGAGGTGGGCATATGTGCGGAGCATGCAGAATTTTCGCTGATTGCACACGGTAGAGGGTCTCGGTATATACACATAGGTTACCGGTCAAGAATGGCAGACTTCAGGTATAACAAACAGATCGGTAATGGCTTTCGACCTAGGCCGGAATGGCATATTACAGGAATATTATGGCATCATTACGCGGTCATTGACGACAATATGCAGCAAATAGACTTCGTAACACAAGAAACAAGAATTGCCCACATTATTACAAACAACAGCAATACATGGGATAACAATAGTGACATAAACAGCAGTCACAAAGTAAAAAAGAACACAAAAACAACTAAATACTGCTAAATAGATACTCGATGATTTGTAATTGTTTGTTATTGTCTTATCCTACATAAGATATCCTAGCGACCGGATATCACCTGAAGTTAGGTCGCCCTTGCAAAGAGTGAAGGTAGTGGAAAAATATGATTCTTTGTAAAAGATGATTGTGATGGGCGATTCATCATTTACCATTGTTTTAAAGACTTAAATAGTAGGTAGTCATATTCGTAGGTGGTGATTTTGACGAATCTGAAGAGGATTGCTTCAAAAGAGCACTGCTACGAAAAGAGAAAGGTCGGGTAACGGTGGGCAATGAGGAGCTGTTATGAGGGCACCTAAACAAGCGCCACAGAACACAGTGCCAAGTGTAGTGGGTAACGTACGAGCACCCGGGAAGAATGACAACGGGTTCGATATTGGCTGGGGTCCAGGCTTTGCAAAAAATATCTCAGCATCATAGTGGTGCTATTTCACGTCGTACTGTGCCATGAATAATATAGCGGGCGGTAAATAAAAACTTACCATAACGCTCATTAAGGTAAGAAGGTGAACAAACAGCACCTCGGCTCATCATACGCAACAGGTTGATGCAAAAAAAGAACTCGCTGTGAAGATCGATTTCACCTGTGAAAACGAATCATGAAGTCTATTCCTGGCAAGCGTCACACCTATTTCTTTGCATTAGAACAGGTCTGCACATTTTTCGAATAAACATTCGTGCAGAATAAGTTAAGTTTTTAATCCAAAATAAGAAAACAAGCATATATAGCGTCCAGAAAACTGTGTATAACGCCTTTATTCCCAGTAATGTTCTACATAATTGTAACTGGTGAGAATTCGTGGCACTTTAAGAGGAAGTTTCTGGATACTAATGTATGAGGATCATAGGCTTAGCTCGAGCCTTCACTGCAAAATGATTTGAAGGTGAAACATTCAGAAATTGTCGCAATATTTTCCACCCTGCTCTCCCACCTTTTGGCCATGAGTAAGACTCATCGAGTTTCTCTATGTGAACGATTTCTGACCTTAATTTTTAAGGTAGAATCTTTAGACAGCACACTTCAATTTCCTGATACCAAATAATTCTAACATCGAACTCTGGATCGAGCGTTCAGAGCACCATGATTTAATGATCCAGCTGGAGCACTCAGAAATTGTGGAAAACTTTTTATCTTTCTTAAGAAAATCGAAATGTTTTTGCTGACACAGTTTTTTGTAGATTCAATAATGGGGTGAAACCCAGCAAAAATCGGCAAGTCTTTCTTCGACCGTCACTCTCTTATCAAAGGGCGCGTGTGGGGTAGTGGTCGGAGTGGTCTTGCAATACACACATGGAAACGATTTCGGCGCCCATGGCCCACCAAGCCTCCAACCCGCGGAGGTTGGAAAATTGGTACCAGACTTGTCGGGAAGGACAGCAGCACTAGCTCGATAAATTGGTGGACCACCGCGAGTCTTTGTAAAGGCCAGATATGCATTCATTCACATCCAAACGATGCTTATTGAAGTCGAATGCATGACGCATCGCTCAGGCATTGATCAACGCTGAAAGCTTTACCCTTTTATTTACTCTCTTATCGTCTTCTTAATAAGACCAGAGGTATATTATCACGGTGAAAAAACCGGTGTGAAAATACTGCCTCCATTATTCACGGCAGACTTTTCTGTTCCACTGTTTCAGAGAATTAGTGGTGATGCAAATGGAATTAGAGCAGTTCCGCGACAAAACGTATGTCGCATAGAAAATATTTCACTAAAAGTGCTTTTTAAACATTGGTTTATTACATTTTCGAATCAACACGTGACCGGATTTCAAGTGTCCACTAACTGACAAGCGGTCTCGGAGGCAATCCTGTCCTTGATCAATTTGATCACTCGACCATACGAACGTATTCGAAAACCGCTCCACATCACGTACCCTACAAATCAACTGGACAGGAGTTCAGAACTTCATACGGTCAGTTATAAAAAGAGTAGCTGGCATATAAGTATAAGCATTCAAGCTTTCGGGATAATGGCACACTTGGATGATGATAATGATGAAGATGAAGATGAAGGCTTCGATGATGGTCACGACCATAATTAGGCATTCCTTCGGGGAAACGTGCTGAGCACATTTTTCGCAGCTCGCTCTTATTGACTTCTGCTGAATCATCAGACTTCCCTAAAATTCAGAGGTTAGTGAAGTTTATTTCAATTAAGTGATTTATTAATTTTTAGCGATTTTTACAGATATGTGGGCTAAAATAATCCAGTCTTTCAACATTAAACAGACCTATCTTCGCTCATATTGATCTCTATTAGTTTAAATAAAAAATAACTTTTTAATCCACAAAGATTTACCAAAACGCTGCATGTTTTTTAACACGTTGGATTTTTGCTCATTACTTTTCGCCCTTTGTCATCGAAGCCTGCATACACAGTTGAAGCAATTGAGTAACTGAATAGATGGGTATTCTTTTTTGATAAGCTTGCACGAGGTTGATAAATATATTTATTCTCGGCTAACGTTTCGACGTCTTCGTCTTCCTTCGACTCGGATCACCGGACGTCGAAACGTTAGCCGAGAATAAATATATTTATCAACCTCGTGCAAGCTTATCAAAAAAAGAATACATATTGATTAGTCACACCGAGGTTTAGGGAAGGTCGGTTTCGAAATATGAACAGATGGGGTTTTGTTCAGTAACTAATAAGGGATTTCTCGACTGCTTTATTATAGATGCTTCATTTGCCCTAAAAATGTGTTTTTAATAGACCACCTTTTAATGTGGGGATGCCTTCAAAGATCACTGATAACTTTATACTTATACCAATGTTTCACAGTCTCTTCAATATTTTTATCAAACTGTCAAGACGTGAAGTGTTTCATTAACAACAGCTGTCCAAGCTTTCATGCTTGCAGTCGATTTATTGCTTATAAGAGTTGCATAAAGAAGGAGGATAGCACAGCGATAGTGATGTTCGCCATCACAAGCATGGTGCTAGTTCGATTTCGCTCCGGACCAACCAAGCCTCTCATCCCTTCGGGGTCGGGACATTGGTACCGGAGTTCGCTGGGAAAAAATCACTCTCTGCAATGTAGTTGGGCCTGGCTGGCTATCTCAAGACTCCAAGGCGACCAGCATTCTACGACATTCAAGTTGAAATGAAAAGCTCAAGCAGCGACTGAAGCCACACGTAAAAAGTTGGGAAACCTTTGTGGACGATGGATGCGAAGGAACGAATTGGATGTGAAAAGTGCTGGCATACGCACCGTGGACGTGAAGATGTATCAAATAAAATGATAAAATAAGATAAAAAAATAGTTGCATAGAAGTGAACTCTAGAATGTGCATGAATATCGTTTAAAAAACGAACGCTGAATATGAAAATAACCACACCAGTCGTTCGCGTCTAGATTTAAGTTAAAATTGTGCTTCGTTTTCGTTAGTTGTTCTAGCTTACCTCCTTCTCCTTCATTCTGTTCTACTATAGCTGTGGGCGCACAGGCAGAAGCTGTTATGGAATGATGTATCAATAGCGCAATCATTGCGAACTTAAGATTAAAGGCCATGTCGTTGCTGGAAAGTACGATGAACTCGGGAACCTGTTGAGAGTGGGATTACGGAATTCATTCGTTCCCTATCATGTAAAGTGCGATGAGCGAAATTGATAATCTGATTGGAAGCCCCCGTTTTGCCGCAATTCTCTTCCGTAAAGTAGTTTCAACACTACCGATGTCGGAACACAACACAAAATCTTTTTCACTATTTAATAGCGTTTGATGAAAACTGTTATAACAAGAAGAAAAAAAACACAGACGATTGAACTATGAACTGCAACTTTATTAAGCAGTAACAGTAGAAATAGAAAATAAGACGAAGTTTTATAGCTACGTGTTTACGCACTTGCAGCATTGTGGTGAACCCTCTAATAAAACATTTTCTAAGGTTCGATCTCACGACCGGGGAATCCAAGCTTCTCCATCCACCTTTACGGGGTCGGTGAAATGGTGCAAAATTTGTCTGAAAGAATAAAATTCACGACCTAATAGATCGGTTGATCTGGGTAGCCACTGTGTAGGACAAATGCACTGAATAACCCTTCTGATCGTTAATTAAGTCAATTACAGCTCTTCAGTTCTTCGCTAATGCTTTGTCTTTCATCGTTCATTTATTAAGTTCAAATATTACATTAACTGCAATATAAAAATTTGAAAATTTTAGGTAATTAGTTTATAGGGATTTTATGCTTAATTATCATCATTTTAAAAGAAAAGGGCAGATAGCACAATGGTAGTTATGTCCAACATCACAAGCATGGTATTAGTTCTATTCCGCTCCGAGCCGCCCGCCTCAAGTAATCCTCAACTTTGTTGAACTGTAGAACATACGCCGCCTAACTGGACACATGAGAAAAGCAGTGTCTCTTAAATCTTTTGTCTCGATGGACTCAATCCGCGCAATAGGAAAGACTGTTGAATATCGTAAAAGTGTAGGAAACCTCTTTATCAGGCTTTCGTCATCTTAGAAAGGGCCTCTGACGAACTTGAAATAGACAAAATAAAAAGAAACCATCGCTGTGTCATTTATGTGGAGCAAAAACAGTGTCCGCAGAGTAGGTGCGCACGGCGGGCACGGTTCAATGGCGTCCCATAGCTACAAGTTTGATCGCCTTCTACCAACCTCCTCATCGCCTCGCATCAAAAACGGACTTGTTCATTGTGGACGGGACAAGACAGACAGGCTCACTACTGGTTTATTATACTGTGCGACCACTAGTTTCAATTCATTGTAAAGTTGGTTTTCTGAGAGAAACGGTAACATTTCGATAACTAGAAGGCTTAACTAGTAAAGAACATGACAGGATTATAGCAAAGATTTGCGGGATTAAATGTGAATGGTATGTATACTACTTTTTCAGGTTATGTTGAGTCATACTTCAACCATATCGAGAAATTTTCTCGCCATCCACGGAGCACTTGAACAATATCCTATGCAATTTAGCCGGCTCTAACGACGCCTTGCCGAAATGTCGGGCTTAGAACATGAAAACCTAATCCATTTTCGAGAAGCAGGAGAATACACATATCGCTAAACAAAGATCCAAAGAAAATCCAAAAAACCAAAGATGAATCGAAAAGATGAATGCCTCACCATCATACATGACCTTATGCCTTATTTCAAAATTATTTTTGACCTGGGTTGGTCTAGCTTGCCATCCCACGTGAACAACATGCGGGCAGTCTCACTCGCAAAAGTTTGTTTGATATTCATTAATACTATAGATATTTCAACGAATTACAAGACTATTATTAAAAGAAAAGTCTCCAGGATCCGAGGAAGGCGAAATCGCCAGGCGTCAGCCATCGAACAACAGCAGCAACTACAACTACTTCAAACAATAACAACAACAGCGACAACTTATACCATCAGCTCAACAATAGCAGTTCGCAGGAATATGCAAATAAATGCACTATATCCTTCTTCTAAGGCTTTCCAAAAGAACTCAGACGATCGGGTCGGTGATCGCTCTGTTGCATGAAATTTTGCGCGACATGAAGGAGGCGATATTTCGATCCTGTGAGCAATTTTGCGACAACAGCGAAATTGGTTAGGAAAAACCTTCGATTTACTTAAATGTGGTCTATTTTGTTATGGTACCTTGCATTCTGGGACTCCCACGTATACTCTTGAGGGTGGGGCTTCTGGTATTGCGAGCTATCATTAATGCCTTGACCGTCATGATAAACTCAGACAGCCGTTCATCCTGCTCGTTTCACTCTAATCCGTAGATTCTAGTGTAAACTTCTTGCCGGTCTAACCTAAGCGTTAAAATCTGCAATGATGACATTGAGCAATGTATGGACTTCTCTGTAGTACTTCTCCAATAAGCTCACAAAATACGCTTCGACCTCGTCTTTACCATTGCTTGATGTCGGTGAATAGACGATGGACACTGCCTTAACCAGCTTTGATCCACATCGGCTCAATCTCAGACGTCCGATTCGGATTGTTTGTTGTTCGAATGAATCGACGTTCATGGACGAATTAGTGTTGACGAGGTCGCCGACGCGACCGGCTCTTTTGCTGTGGCATATTACGAAGTACATCCAGTCGGATGACGTCGTATCTCATCCTTTTTGACTGCGTGATGAAGGCCTCTATCGACGGCTTAGATGCAAGTCAATCTGCATTGTAGGCATTACATGTCACCTGATCCCTTTGCGATTCAGACTTAGGTAGCTTGGAGTGGTCCTGTGATTTCAGCAACCTCTTCGTACCCGTACTACTAAACGCTGCCGTGTCGTGGGCTTTTTTCGGGTTCAAAGAAATGAGGACCGCTTGTTTCACTGCGTTAAACGTTTGATACCCACTTATAGCTTGCTGAACTCTGAACGTGGAGGCTCGGTATACCCACTGGTAGCTCTCCAGTCTTTTACAGAGCATACGGAAAAACTTTTTCTTGGGGGCAATTCCTGTTCGCCTTCCATGTACTTCTTTATCGTTTGATTGCAGGTCTTTAGCCGGAATGACTCGCAGAGTACAGTCCACAAAATCAAGAACACACCTATGAACGCATGCGCGGCTATGTCTGCGTAAACACAGAGGGTATGTATTCCTTCATTGATAAGCTTATGCGAGATTGCTAACACTAATCAATATTACCACTAATACTAATCAATATGTATTCTTTCTTTGATGTGCTTACACGAAGTTGATAATGATATTTATTTTCGGCTAACGCTTCGACGTCCTCGTCTTCCTCAGAGCCGACGATCCGAGTCGGTGGTCGTTATTGTTATTCGTCTCGACGTAGCAGCTTCGCCTTTGTGTCGAGTCAGGTCTTCCTTAGTGAGCCATCTCCTCGAATGAGGCATCCTCACTCAGTGAGGCACTTTTATACACGATGCTGATGGTCGATATAATGATAATGTCCGGTGATAACAACTTGTTTTTCTTCCAGACATACATCATTGCGCACATCGTGCAGAAGTCGGTGTTCTTATCAGCTAGCACATATTGCTAACACTGATTTTCTTCGTATTTTTGTTGAGCAAACGCGAGGTGTTACTATTCTTTGTTCACGATTAAGCTGACGTTTCGGCGGATTTCGCCTTCTTCAGAGCCGCTTTCTATGAGGTTTCCACTAAGTATGTCACGTAGAGAGCAATCGCACAGAAATCACGTGGAAGTATAATGACAAGAAATAAGACAATGACAATAATAAAAAATACGAAGAAAATCATTTGATCAATGCCGAGGTTAATAGAAAGTCGGTCGTGGCAGTTACTGTTTATTTTCGGCTAACGTTTCGACGGCATAGCCTTCATCAGAGCGGATAATCCGAGAAGATGGTCCACAGTTGTTCTCGAGGTGGCGTCGAGCCGGGTCTTCCCCAGTGGAGCATCTCTCTCGAATGATTCGGTACTCGTGCTCGGCGATGCCCTTTTATAAAGAATGCTGACTGTTGATAAGAATGATTAATCGGTAATCACAACTTTTTCCAGACAATCTACCCTGCAAAAGACGGTATCATTATCAGCTAGTATAAAGCATAATGATATCTACTGCGGACTAAGAGCTATGCAGCTGTGAACCATCTTCACGGATGATAAGGACTGATTAAGACGATAAGGTCTAAACGTTAGTCGAAAACAAAGAATGTCATCAATTTCATGCAAGGTCATCAAAGAGAGAATGTATATTGATTAGTCATACAGAGGTTCAAGGAATGTTGGTTGTGAAATACAGGAGGTCCACGGCAGTCGTGCTGTGTCCCAGTCGTCGTCCATGGTGCTGGTCAGCTTCTGACATGGTAACGTCAGCGAAGTCGATTCCGAATTTCTAAAAGCAGTTCCATCCACATTCAAATGACTGACGTTAGCTATGAACGCATCCGGTTCTTGCTTGGATGGTCCTCCAAGAGGAGGCCTACATTCTCATAGAATCCACTCCACTGTTCCCTTCATTTTTCTGTTATCTGTTCATCTTGTTATATGATTGGTTCATCTTTGTTTAGCGATATGTGTATTCTCCTGCTTCTCGAAAATGGATTAGGTTTTCATGTTCTAAGCCCGACATTTCGGCAAGGCGTCGTCAGAGCCGGCTAAATTGCATAGGATATTGTTCAAGTGCTCCGTGGATGGCGAGAAAATTTCTCGATATGGTTGAAGTATGACTCAACATAACCTGAAAAAGTAGTATACATACCATTCACATTTAATTCCGCAAATCTTTGCTATAATCCTGTCATGTTCTTTACTAGTTAAGTCTTCTAGTTATCGAAATGTTACCGTTTCTCTCAGAAAACCAACTTTACAATGAATTGAAACTAGTGGTCGCACAGTATAATAAACCAGTAGTGAGCCTGTCTGTCTTGTCCCGTCTACAATGAACAAGTCCGTTTTTGATGCGAGGCGATGAGGAGGTTGGTAGAAGGCGATCAAACTTGTAGCTATGGGACGCCATTGAACCGTGCCCGCCGTGCGCACCTACTCTGCGGACACTGTTTTTGCTCCACATAAATGACACAGCGATGGTTTCTTTTTATTTTGTCTATTTCAACTTCGTCAGAGGCCCTTTCTAAGATGACGAAAGCCTGATAAAGAGATTTCCTACACTTTTACGATATTCAACAATCTTTCCTATTGCGCGGATTGAGTCCATCGAGGCAAAAGATTTAAGAGACACTGCTTTTCTCACGTGTCCAGTTAGGCGGCGTATGTTCTACAGTTCACCAAAGTTGAGGATTACTTGAGGCAAACGATGAACGACAAGCGGATTAGAAAACAATTACCCATATCACCACAACGTTGCTGAGATATTTGCAAAACTCTGGACCGCAGGTGTCTATGGTGGGGAACGAACGCGCTATTATCCTTTCCGGGGAGTAACGCATTCACCACCACACCATGCGGGTCCTTTGTTTCGCACGTCTTTCAGCTATTTCTATCGATCTTTTTGCCACAGCAATCACCCGTCAATCATTGGGTCCAGAGTTTTGCAAATATCTCAGCAACGTTGTGGTTGTATTTCGCTTAGTAACCTGCCATGAAAATTATAGAAGGCAGAAAACAAAACGTTAAAAATTACCCATATCGTCTAGATTTCTGTTTTCTAATACTGATAAGCAGAAACTGGTACTTCTGTTCAAAATTCACTTNTCAACAGTCTTTCCTATTGCGCGGATTGAGTCCATCGAGACAAAAGATTTAAGAGGCACTGCTTTTCTCACGTGTCCAGTTAGGCGGCGTATGTTCTACAGTTCAACAAAGTTGAGGATTACTTGAGGCAAACGATGAACAACAAGCGGATTAGAAAACAATTACCCATATCGTCTAGATTTCTGTTTTCTAATACTGATAAGCAGAAACTGGTACTTCTGTTCAAAATTCACTTCCCAAAGCCATTTTGAGACTAAGCTAACGCCATCATTCGTCACGGTACATATTCGCTCTTTTAAACGAGAGTGAATAGTGATTCATTCGAAAGTGTTTCCACGTTTACACATTCCAACAGTGAATCCAAGCCATTGTGGAAGGAAGAAGGAAGCCACTTGATGGTTAACTAAATTTCTAATCAGGTTCAACCGCAGATTTACACACCACATAAGAAAAACGATGACAGGACAGGCCTACCTAAGCAGCCATCCCAACTCAGTTACAATATTCTACATTTTTTGGTACCAGAACCGCAAAAACTAGAAAAACAGAAAACCGTCACCTATTCTTCTTCTCCACTTAAAGAATGGTAATACTGACCACTAAAGGTGTCGTTTTCTCAATCAGCACTCGCGTGGTTGTTATACAACACACGTTCACTTTCGCGCAAAAACACAAGCAACACAACTGCAGCTAACGTTTCGACTGCACCGCATGCTTTAACGTCTGGAAGGATATGTTGATACCTAGTTTACTAGACCAAACGTTTCATCAAAACAAACATAAAGACGAAATTATGAACCGTAATTACAGGATCAAAGGCTTCTCGAAAAATGCACTGTTTTCTTTGCGCGCCTTCAACTGCAGAGGGACAACTACGTCGAGTCGCATTTGTTCGATGAGTGCAAAACTCCACATCAAAAATCGATTCTGAGGTAAGGGCTAGATTAGTATTCGATCAATATTTCAATTGTTCAATATTAACCTCGTGTTAGCCTACGAAATAAAAAATACATGTTTGTATTTGTACCCATATATTTAGCAATAATGGAAATAACTGACATACCGCTTGGTGGTTTCCATCGCTTGTACTCACGAACAGTTTTCTAAGTTGTAGCTTTCAACCAGTTATGGTCTTGAAGAGATAGTACATAAGAACTTCTAGAATATTTTTTAGTAACTTATATATCACGGATAAGGAAGCCTACAGCAAATTCCACCAACTTATAAAACTATTGACGATCCCATCCGCTGTACTAGCCTTGATGATTGATGGTTCTCATACGGTGTTAACAGATAGCTTTTTATTAATATTTTATTTTATATGCGCCTTCGTCACATATACTACGAAAAACACGACAGCGTAGAGCTTCTTCTATAAATATGCTAAGGCTCCAACTCTTTAAGTACACTGACAAGCCAAGATTAGTCGAGAGCAATCGAAGAACTAGTATCCCACGATTTGTGAAACACAATACTTGACAAACAGCCCGCTATCATTATCAAATTCAATCACTATGATACACTGTCGATATTTGGAAAGTGTAAAGTGCAAAAGTATAAGGTTAACATCGCAAAGTCTTCACACAACCTACTGAACTTCATTACATGCTGACAGCAACAGTGTGGTTGGATATTCAACGAGTTTTTCTCACCACACGTGAATTGGGTCACCTCTATCACCTGTACTCCTGTTGATCGTCGAGTGACTCGAGCGGGCGCCAGTAAATCTTCCACTTCTTCCTGTCACGTGCAAGAGTAACCCAGCGGGTTCTCTTCGCTTTAGGGACTCATCGAGCATCATATTTTTTTTCTACGCTCTTCGTGAAAAACTCTGACCATTTAGTCGGTGGTCTTTCTGTAGTACGTTTGATATCCAGAGAAAACCGGACTAACGGCTCTTGTTCATCGGTTGTCATTTATACGCAATACGTGTCCGGCCCACCTTATCTTCGACTGTTTGGCGTATAGAACGGCATCTTTGATTTTTGGTCGTTGACGCAGATCGGAGCTTCGGATCCCATCCCTTACTTGTGTGGAACGGGATACTCCTAGCATCGCCCTTTCGACTGCACGTTCGATAACGCTGAGTGGCCTTTCGTCCTGCTTACGAAGCGACCAGGTTTCTGACGCATACGTTAGGGCAGGAAGCACCGTTGAGTCGAAAAGGTGGACACGGAGGAGGGTGCTTCTTGTTTTCTTCACTACATCCCCGATGCTCTTGAAAGCTCCTCAAGCCGCTCGCTTCCTTCTGCTCAGCTCCGGAGCTAAGTCGTTCATCACATTGATTTCCCGACTTAGGTAGACATAACTGGAGCGTTCGGAGATATTTGTTCCGTTGAGCGCGAACGGGGCATACGAAACCAATCCGTTAATCATGGACATCGTTTTTGTCAGATTTAATTGAAGACCGATTTTTCCACAGGTTTTAACAAAGTCGGTAAGCATTCGTTGCACTTGGCTAGTGTTTGATGTTATAAGGACGATGTCATCAGCAAAGCGAGTGATGTGACTACCGACCATCTGACCATCGACTATCACTCCCATGTTGGCCCATTACAATGTTCGTAAGACGTTCTGGAGGGTGGCGGTAAATAATTTTAGCAAGATGGTATCGCCTTGCCGAACCTCTCTTCTGACGGCGATGTTAATATCGTTGTAGAATGGTGAAATCTTCGTTGTGAAATTTTTGTATAGCTCACGAAGAATCTTTATGTACTAAGTAGAGACCTCACGACTATCAAGGGCTTCCATCATTGCTTCTATCTCAATTGAATCAAACGCCTTCTGTAAAATCGTTGAAAGTGATAGTGGATGTGGTCCATCGTACTAAATCCTCTTGGAAACCCTGCTTGCTCACATGGCTGTCCTTGGTCTAGTGTTCTGTCTTTACTGTTTAGGATGACTCGAGTGAAGAGTTTGTAGACGACAGACAGCAAGCCGATTGGGCGATAGTTGCCGATATCGTGCTGGTCACCCTTCTTGAACAATAATACGGTCTTGCTAGCCTTCCACAAAGTAGGGGCCTCGCATTCAGACAGGTAACGTGTGAAGAGCCTAGCTAGTGTGTTTACGAGGACTGGCGGAAGGTTGTTTAGGTGTTCTGATCTTATCCTGTCCGAAGCTGATGCTGTTCGATTTTTCACCGACGAAATGGCATGTCGGATTTCAGAAGGTAGAACCGGTGATAGAACATATCCATCTTCCTTTATTTGATATAATGGAAGGTGGACGTGGCTATCGAAGAAATCTGAGTAGTATTAGTGAATGATTCCCTCTATTGCCTTTCTGGACGCTGTAACTCTTCCGTCTGGGTGCCGGAGAGCAATCATTTTGGTCTTGTAATTGGTGAAGCTTCGGTGGGCTTTGCGAATGCTTTTACTAGCCTCTGCAGCTTCGGCCATTACTGCTGCTCTTCTCTCTCTAAGATCTTCTTTTATCGTCTGTCTGCATTGTTTTGCAAGTTCAGACGTTAGTTCGCGGTTGACTGCAGCTCGTGCGATTCCACGCTGGCGTATCAGCTCGAGTGTTTCTGGAGACAGACGTCTCTTGGTGACTTTCGAACTCTGAGCTTTCATACCGCTAATTTGAAGATGTTGAATAAGCCGATAGTATTCCTCGTCGATGTTATCGACAACGGCATCTTTCCAACAGCTGACTAGTGAATTGAATAAGTCCCAGTTTATGGTGGTACTAGGATTTCGGTTTTCGATTTTAGCGGCTTTTTCTCCTTTCCGCGAGAAATAGAATCTTGCATGAAGGAGACAGTGGTCTGATGCCGTGCAGAATTTTGGGGCAACGACGACGTCGGTTGGACAAAACCTTCTATTTACCATGATGTGGTCTATTTCGTTATGGTACGCTCCATTGAGAGACTCCCACGTCCAGCGCTGAGGGTGGGCCTTCTGGAATTGCGAGTTACCATGGGTGGTCTTGGTCGCCGTGATAATGTCAGGTTGCCGCTCGCCCTGTTCGCTACATTCTAATCTATGGGTTTCAATGTCACGTTCTTCAGACAATCTGCTTAGTCCAGTCTTAGCGTTGAAATTTCTAATGATAGCCTTGAAGAATATGTGGTCTTCTTTGCAGAACTTCTCCGAGTCCATATAGAACTCTTCGACTTCTTCTTCGTCATGGTTTGATGTCCTCACGTAAACAACGAAGATTGTCAAAGGCGGTATTGATCCACATCTTTTTAATCGTAAACGTCCGATTCGGGTTGTAATCTGTTCGAATGAATCAATGATCATGGAGAAACTCGTGTTGACGAAAACGCTGACGTCGCCGACTCCTCTGCTGTCGCATGTTCCGTGGAACAGTTCTTCTTCGGTGTTATAGACGCCGTTGAATGGGTGGCACCGTCTCGTCTCGGCCAGGCCGATGACGCCATGCCTTATCCTTCCTGCTTGCATGAGCAAGTCTTCTATCGAAGACTCGGATGCAAGTGTACGTGCATTGTAGGTACAGATCGTCACCATAGCTTTTTGTAATCCAGGCAGCTTTCGTTGGTTCTGAGATTTTAGCAGCCTCTTCGTACTCGTCCTACCCAACGCTGCGAAATCGGTGGCAGAAGCGGAGAGTTTATTCCCTGGATCCACTTGCGTCTCAAGGAAGTAAAGGTCGCTTTTGGTCCGCGATTAACCCCCTATCCGCGACCTGACGACGCGCCACGTAGCCTCGCTACTAACAGGCTGAAGACCCCTCATATGAGGGAGATCTGTGGTGTGTCATTGTATTTTGTGGCAAGCACCATCTCCTCTAATTGTTACATTTTTCCGCTGTGAAAAAGCGTTTGATCGCGCCGAAACGGATGCAATTTTATCAGCGCTGGCCGACCACAGCGTTAAATCATGTGTAAAAAGTCAGTTTCACTGTAGTCGAACTGCAGTACGAAAGTACAGCTTTTTCTTTGACCTCTTAACTACTTGCACTGGAAAAGGGTTCAACAAAGCGACACAATATCGGAAAAGCTCTTAATGCCGTATTGCCGCGGACAATGAAGTCACTCGATTGGGACGAGGAATCCATACGTAGTGACGGAAATTTCCTGCCCATTCTTCGTTTTGCTAACGACATCGTCATTTGCTTAAGGAAAACAAAGGATTCAAAAACTATGATTAATGAGTTCAGCAAAGTGAGGAAAAAATCGAACTACGCATAAATTAGAAAAAAGCCAACTAAGGAACGCGAATTCACGCGCTTGCCTTTCCTATCCATCACTTCTTGGAGCCTGTTGTGCACTAGATACGTGGGCTCTTATTTCAGCAGCGCCAAGAATTTTGCACAGCACCGTAAGTAGAAGTCAAGTTGTGATTTCTATTGCAGATTCAGCTTAACTGTGTTCAGTCCCGCATTGTGCCTCTTAGATCACTCTCGTTGACAGGTGATTGGTAGCAGAACCATTAGAGTGAAAAAGCTTCTAAAATACGTGCAAATCAGGGGCCACTATGTTGCAGTTGATAACAGGTGGTCACCTGAAAGGGTAATCGCGGGTTCGAAGAGCATCTGAGATTTCTAGTTCTGCTCATTTCTCAGCATCACTATTCATTATAGCACCTCTACCATAGATCACAGCCTCATTTTGGTTAGGATGTTCCAATGTATTGAATTGCAATGTATGGTCTTCACATCTCTGAAAGACATCCGAAGCTGAGAGTTCAACTTTCCCACCTGGATGTCCACCTAAGAGCAGACTAAAGGCGGATCATAAATTAACGCTTTGCTCAAAGCGTAAAGGATGAAGGATGGACTATAAAGCTCTCGGCGTCGATCAATCCCTGAGAGATGCGCCGTGTATTCCACTTCGTTAACAACCGTTAGAGGTTCATGAATGCATATTTGTCTATAAAATAGCTCGGGGTAGTCTAGCGATGTATTGATCCTGTGCTGCTTTTCTTCCGGACAGCTCTAACACCAACTTGCCGACCGCGAAGGTATAGGAGGCTTGGTGAGCCTGAAGCTCAGAACCAAACCCATATGTATTGCAAGTCGCCTCTAACGACTGCGTTACACAAGTCCCACTCGTAGCAAACTAGTGAAGAATTCCTGTCTCATCTCCAACGTGCGAAGCGGTGGACTAAAAAAAATAGGTCCCAAGAGTATGCTGGCGCCCTCTTGAAGGACCACCCAAACTATGACCCATATTGGTTTCATACGTGATCTATCTGCGTCCGAAAATATAAACGATTTCAGGATTACGGAATGAGTTTCGTTGACGTCACCTTGTTCGAAGCAGACCACCACTAAGGATAGCGATTGCACGAGAGAGAAACGAATGGAAAGCACTTTGAGGTCAGCACTAGGAGTGAAGGCCCAGCCATCAAAATATCCAAGTAGGTCTCTTAATAACTCGAAAGACCGTCTTTCTATAAACCTCGGCATAGATAGTTGATATGTTTATTTATGTGATCTTATAAACTGGTCTTCTTAAGCTGACGCGAAGTCGGTACAGGTCTTCGTTATCGTTGTCGTTGTTTTTGATGTTATTGATCGATGGCTGACGTTTCGGCGACTTCGGCTTCCTCAGAGCCTGGACGTATTTAATATTAGAATATTTTTTAAATTATTCGGTGGAAAAGAAAGGTTAAAGTGTTAATGAAAATCAAACCTTCAAATAGACGCCATATTGAACAGAAATCAATACCGGAAATTAAATCAAGAATGGGTCAGCACGGCAAAAGCCGCGGGTTTAGAACCTTCAGTTATTTCTCGACTTAAAAACGAACATCCGATTTGCCTTGTCCTTTACTTGCTTATTAAAACACATAAGCTTACTTCAACTGATGATATTACGCCAACGAAGCCATCATCATATAAAGTTAGACCTACATCAATTGTATAGGCGGGCCAACGGATAGAATAACGTGGTTCCTAAACCTTATCCTAACCCAGCTGCTAAAATTCATTCCAACCCATCTACCTAACACCAAAGTATTTCTAGATCACCTAAGGCGCGCGAAACCAAACAGCACGCATATAATGGAGTCATTCGATGTTAGTTCACTTTATACCAACGTGTCCAATGACTCCGCAATGCAAGCCATCCTCGAGTTGCTCGTAGAGCATGAAAAGAAAATAAAAATGTACGTCTTGTCGATTGCGCAACTAATGACTCTCTTAAAACAGTGTCTTAGTTGTTCAATCTTCAGGTGGCCTGGAAAATATTTTGCAGAAATTAGAGGGTTGGCGATGGGGCAGCGTTTAGCACCAAGCCTTGCCATTGCTTTCTTGTCCAAAGTGGAAGCTCCAGTTCTCGATCACCGACCTTTACTCTACTGTCGATACATAGACGACTGTATCATAGTCTGTTCCACACAAGAACAGATGGATGAGTGCTTTGAATTATTAAACTGACAGTCAGAGTGTATAAAATTTACAGGAGAAAAACCTACCGAGAACTGGCTTCCATTCTTAAACATCCAAATAAAGCTCTTAGTAAGTGGCTATATAACAAAACGGTGTCGTAAGCCAAGTAGTAAAAACATTCTAGTTCACATCCTCTCCTCTCATCGTTCACACATTAAAAAAGCACTTATCAAAAACATGTA